AAACCATACAAAAGAGTTGTTCTAGAACTGATTAAAGTGAGTATATTATTCAAACATTAGACTAAAGATCATAAATTGCCAATGCGGAAAACTTTAGGGGATGTTGTGCAGTCAAGTCGGGCCCTTTCCCTTCGAACCGGAAGTACCTGAAACCATAACCATAAAACTATAAGCACAAAGCTTAGTGAGTTCCTAATACCACATATCATACATATCCTTGGGTCTTGCCTTGGGGTTTATTCCAACCCAATAAGCAAATATGGTCCCCCGCCCTGGAGCCTCGCTCTGGGGTTTATTTCGACCCGATCAGGCCATAGTGGGCCCCGTCCTGGGTATATTTCAACCCAAGCATGGAACACACATATAAGTCACATAACAACAATCATACTATGTAAGAGTCACAAAGATAACTAACATATAATAGAACCTAGTGGGTCGACATTGGTGCCTTCGATCCACAGGTACAGTGAGGAGACTCACCTCACAGACAGAAGAAATAGTTGCAACCACATGATGTTCCAAATACCAACTCTACCGATCATCTTTACAATAAATAATGACCAAAACTCAGACAACATCTCCAAATACCCAAAATACCCTTAGGTCAAACTTTGGTAAAAATCCTGGTCAAAATCAAAAATAAAAAGTCAACCCAGCTAGCCACTATGTCATGGCCTCCTTGGCCACGTTGTGGTCGCAAACCGACAAAACAGACGGGTCTAGACCAAGTCACCACGTTGTGGTGATGCGTCTGAATAGCTTAAACCACTAATTCATTTTCCTTCGACCACAAAAACTCCAAGGCTCAGATCTAGTCCTTCCCAAGGTCTTGATGGGTAAAGTTTCCAACTTTACCCCTCAAAACCCTTCCATATGCCAAAATTCCAATCCCAACCACTAATGGTAACTTAATGCATCAAGATTTTCATCAAGCACCAAATCCTTAGAGTTGCACCTCCAAAGTTTCTAGAAAGGTTTCACACTCCAAAGTGAGCTTAAAAATCGTGGCTTTATGGACTTGCATATCCAATACATGCGTTTTCCATTTTAGGTCAAAAATAGGGTTTAATAACCAAAATCCCATGCATGACATCAAAACTTGATTATAATTCAGATCCAAGACACTAAAGGCTCATTATGACCTAGAGATTCATAAAGTCGCAAACTTTATGAGATCCCATTACTTAAGTCCATCAAAATCATGGAAAAAGGGGACAAAAACAAGAGATCTAACAACATGGAGAGAAAAGGTTGAGTCTTGGACACTCACCAAAGTCCACGAGGTGAGCTTAGCTGAAGAAATGATGCTTTCCAAGTGACCACCTCACCAAGAGCTTCATTTTCCTTCTAAAATCATCAAAAAGCACCAAGAATGAGCTCACAACTTCAATGGAGGCTAGGGTTAGGGTTTCTGAGGTGAAATGAGGTTTGTAGGTTGATGATGAACCCTAAAATAGGTTTAGAAAGGTTTAAATATGAAGGAAACCCTAAAAGAGTCATGGGCTTGGGCCTGATCAGCTGCCACGTCGTGGTGACCTTCACCACGCCATGGTGGTCCAAAAAGTCACACGACCAAAAATTGACCTCGCCACATCATGGTGTTTCCTCCACCACGTCGTAGTGATTTCTCCAAAAATACAAACCAGCAAAAGAATGTATCTCGAGAATCAGGGTGTTACAAAAATGCTAGTAATTATAGTCTTGAAATTGGTTGTCTTCATGAAATCAAGCATTTTTAATCTGATAACTCTTTAAATTCACCCTCATTCATTTCGGTCACTAGAGATGATATCTCTTGTGTAACCTTGATCTCTTTGATGGGTGGTAAAATTGGTTCATCAAGCAAAAAAAGTTATATAATATCAATGTGGTCCAAGTATTCCTTAAAGCAAACACATTCTTCCGTCCACTAGACAGTGAGTCATGGCCTTCGTTCTGATATAACCCTGCCACTAAGATAAAAGAATTTTTTTTGAAGCTACCATAAAAGATTTGATGTTAGTAAATCACAGGCTATGGTAGCTAGAAAATTCGCTAATTCTTGGATGGTACCCAATTCGATTTGGGGATTAAAACAAATTGACGTTTTCCTACAAGTACTTTTATTAAAATTACCATAAGTTTTTGTCGTAAAATAATTTCAAACATAAAACAAGTAGAATTCTACCAACTACTAGTCTCATATTTAGGACCCATAAATTGTATTTAATAAAACTTTAAATTTGTACATAAATCATCGCAAACTTGTAGCTCAACTTGCATGGTTATACTAATAATATGTGCAAGTGCTATTGGAAGATATTTGTATGTGATTGCCACTTGAAATAAGCTGAGTCCTTTTATATATCTCCCTAACAAACATTATTATAATGTTTCAGGTTGGAAAGATACTGAAGATTCAACAAGTGTCTGAAGAATCATATGTTGGAGCACTTGAAGTGAACTTGGAGTACTTGAGGTTGAACATGGAGCACTTGATGTACACATGGAGCACTTGCTGTTGACATGGAGCACTTGAAGAAAGCAAGTTGGATCATCATGATCTCAGATGACACATCTAGATCATATATGGAGCATCAAGATATTGGTGTATCATTTGGGATATTGATGGCTCATCAGAAACATTGTTGGCTCATCCACAACTCTATGGCTCAACAAGAGTCGATGGCTCAACATGAATTCTTTGTGGCTCAACTCAAGTCAATGGATCAACATGATCATATTGATGGCTCAACAAGACTGCACATGACACATCATGTACAATGAAGGCACGTCCAAATGCTCAAAGACACATGTATTTCGTCCTTGATCCATCTTGAACAAGCAGTTGTACATCTTTAAGTCCAAGACACATTTCAATGTTCAAGAAACATGTCAACTTGGTCAACAACACTTCTAGAAGTTGATGACATCTAAGAAGACAATTGAGCAACATGATGCTCATGTTGCTCATCACATTTTCAATGTTGATCAAGAAGGCTCAAGAATTATGAAGACTCATAACTTGGATGGAACCCTAACGGAATACTAGGAATTGGAATATTCCATCCATTCTCTGTTAAGTAGGGAAAATGTGTCGACTGATGACTAAGTCATGACGACGTGTCAACACCTGATTGGCAAAGCCATGTCATGGGCTTTTCCAAAGCCTATAAAAAGGCCCCTTGGGATCCATTATGAAGTTGCTCTTTTCTGATCATTCCTGCTCATTCTACACAATTTCTGCTTAGACTAGTCTTCAGAGAGCCATTTGAGAGTTTTAGTGTGTTTTACATTCAAACACTTGTAATTGAATCTTCATGAATATGAGACACATTTGAATCATTGATATTAAGTCTAAAAAACCGTTTTTCTATTAGTTTGATTGATTCATAACTCTTTATTTTCCGCACTACTTGCCACTTGACGATTCTGAAACTCTATTTCAGTATTTTCAACACTTCGACTATTCTAGTCTAGGTTTACTGAATTTTTCTCATTTCTTCAAGTGCAATGATAGTGTAAAAAGCTGTGTGCAGACAAGGATTGAAAATTTAAACCTTGAATTAACTTAAGATCAATGTATGTTGCTAATACTAAAGGTCCAGTCAAGTCTGGTATACCAGTCTTGTCTTGAAATAAGAAGTTCAACAAAGTATTCAAGTATTTAAGAGTGAGTATGAACAAAGTAAATAAAACTTAAGAACAATGAGAATGATTTGGCTTGCAAGATACTTAGTATTTATGTGAAAGAGAATGTTCCTCAAGTATTACATGCATGAAAATTACTTCTTCTGAAATAGCCAAGGAGTAAGAAAAAGACAAACTGACAAGACTGCATGAACTATGTAAAGCTTAAAAGTCAAAAAGCTAACACTGAGGATTTTGTCGATCCTGTCCCATGAACTTTACAATACAACAAAGACTACAAGACAAGAAACATCAAATACTGATTACAGACTCAAAATAGCACTGACTACAATGTGTTTCTTGTACTAGTCATCATCTCATAAGTAACTTCAATTCGAAACACATCACATCTCATTGCACTTGACCTTGGTTTTGGCTTGGCTTTGGATTGCTAGAGGTTCACTTTCATGTATCAACAATGTCCCCTAAGTGAACTTAGCAATCAATCAACTTTTCATTTGTCTTCATCAAACACGAAGATATAGGCACTATGGAGCCAACTTCGCTTCTAAGTACCATCTAAGATGTTCGATGAACTTCTTCTTGACATGCTCAGGAGAATCACTTTTGGCAGCGTTGGAGATGAACCTCTGAAGGATCTTTGTAGGAACAAGGTGTTTTTCAAAAACTCTAAAGAATTCTTTTCTATTAGTCTTCTTTTTGAGATAGGCATAACCGAGTTTCGGTTCTTCAATGGGGCCTTTGGCCAAGATCTATGCTTCAGGGAGTTCTATAGTGATTTTTTCCAGAATGCTCTCGGTTCTGAATAGGTGAGCAAATTCAATGTTGGATCTGCAGAACTCAACAATATAATCCTTCAAGAAATTTATTGCAGCATTGTAAGCTCTGATGCTCGTGTCACTTGATTGGCGATCTCGAAAGTGAGCAACAATAGTGAGAATGTCATTTGGACTGATTGAAGAAAAGTTTGCATCCGTGATGGTGGCTTTTTTGTTCCGAGAGACATAGTATCTGTACAACATGCAATTAATATCAAACTTGCTCTGAACCTTGTTACCATATCCAATGATCTTGGTAATCCTCTTCCGAGACCACACTTCTTTTTGGGTTCGTGCGTGAACAAAGTAAATGGTTCTCAATCTGTCATGCTCTGTCCTTATGATTATTTGAGGATCATCATTCGGACGTAGAGAAGCGTACTTGATATAGAAATGACCGTGAAGAGAGATTGGCAGGTCAAGTTAATCATCATCTTGTGTCAGAAGATCATAGTACATGAAAGTCACGGAGTGCATGTCGTGAATAACTCCTTCTCGGAAAAGAGAAAAGATGCCCAACATCGGATTCAGATTGTCTTTCAGTACTTGAATTCAGATGCTTTCTTCCAAGGCTTGATCGATTTGTTCTTGAGACCATCCCTCAGACTTTTTGAACATCTTCACTGGGCTGTTAGAGTCTGTTGCAATCTGTTTGCCTTTTTCTTGAGGATTTTTGCTTGTGCTAGAAATAAAAGAGATGATTTGTTGACCGGATTCTATGATGAAAAATTCAGATGGTGGAGTAATCAAAGGCTCTTCAGGGAGATCACCAGGTTTCCGGGTGGGAGAACCTTCATTAGTTTTCACTATCAGAGTAGGAATTGGTGGAAGCATGGATTGAGTAACTCGGAATGCGTCAACAGTGATCTTAGCCTTAATATTTTCCATTTCTCAACTTCGTCTGACCACATAGGCTATGGATGATTATAACATCTCGTTTATTGAATAATAAACCCGAAACCCCAAGATGTAATTTTTATTATTATTTTATATTATTGTAGCCAAAATCAAATAATAATTAGCGGGGTGTTGGTTTCGGGGAGCCAAATGATATAATTTGGAGTTTCAGGAGTTAAAGTGTAATTTCATGATTTATTTTGCAAAGGATTTTAGAATTCAGGGGGTGTTTGGTATCATTTGGACTTATATGAAAGGATTTATGGAAGCAGGAGGCTAAAGAGTAATTTGTGGACCTAAGTTGAAAAGGTTTTGTAAAGGAAGGGCCATTTGGTAACAATTGGATTTCAATTGAAAGAAAAGGAGAATGAGGGACTGAAAGCGTTAATATGGTAAATTATGGAGTTTGGATGGGAGTTTATAACTCATCACCCTCTTAACCCTAACCCTACTTCTAAAACACCAACCGCCACCCTCCTTATGCCTCCCATCACCTCCGGTCGCCGCTGCCATGCAAAGCCGTCATCTGTCACCCGTTATTTCGCCATCGAAGCAACACCACCACTGCCAGGAATGTAGAAAACATCCGGGAGGTCCACCGAAGGCTGGAGGCGGAACAAAGAGTGAAGGTGTGGGTCGTGAACCACCGGGATTACTGCCGTCGTGCACCGAAATCGTTGAAGACGTAGTCACCGACGTCTATGCCATTATCCAGTGCCGATGTCGCTCCAACTGCCGACGAGGATCACGGGCAGGAGTCTTCTTCTTCCTTTTCTGTCCCGTCGTCATCCACACCACCGGTACCGCCAAACGTTACGCCGCCTCTGATGTCAACTGCTGCTGCTGCCCGCCACTCCGAGTCGCCACCGTCACTGTACGCCACCGTGAGGTGGGTGATTGTGTTTCTTTTCCGAGCAAAAATATGGATGTGTGTTGTTGTGAACCCGAGATTCGTTGTGCGAGTGTTGCTGGCCGGAAATCGAGGAAAAAAACCACCATGGCCGCCAGGCATGGTGGCCGCCGCCTGCTGCCATTTTCCGTCGCCACCAGCCACTGTGGAAGGTGGCTGTGTGCATGTTTTTCTGTGTACTTTAGGTGTGTGTTGTTGTATTGCGTTAAGTGTGTGTAGTGTTGTGTGATCGGGAACAAAAATTAAACCACCACCACCACCGTGAGGTGGTGGCTGTCACCCTCTACCACGGTCGGCCACTACAAGGGTGGTCGTCTGGGTGTGTTATTTATGTATGTGTGTGTTTATTCAGATATTTTCGATGTAAAATGTATTGTACGGCCGGAATAATCAAGGCAAAACCCATAACCACCACCGTGAGGTGGTGGCTGCCGCCCTATGCTGCCACCAGCCGCCGTGTTGGGTGGCGGTGTGCATTGTGTGTTTGGATTTTTTGTTTAGATGCTTGGACACATTTAGTTTAAAATTTATAACCACCACTACGAGGTGGTGTCCGCCGGCATGAGCCGCCGTTGACCACCACTACCCGAGGTGGTAGTGGGTGGTGCCCGACTTATTTAACCCTAATTGACCTAATGAAGCCCTAATTGGCCTAAAAACCTAACCAATTGACTAATGGGCATGCAATTGGGTTGGAAACCCTAATTAGGGTTTAGAAAACCCTAATTTTGGATTTGTTGGTTCGGGCTTATCGGGACCCGCGTTTTGGGCCATTAGAATTGAATTATAAATTACACCTGATCACACCGTATGATTTATCTAGTAAAGTGATGGACATAATGGATTAAGTCCTTAATGGGTTAAGTAAGAAACACTTAACCCTAATCGTCATTTTATGTAAAAACCCTAATTTTGCTTGGGCCTTGAGTTGGGCCTTTCTATTGGGCTTTGGTGATTGGGCTATCCAAGAACAAGTAAATGGACTAAATTATTTGGATGAGCTTTGGGGTAAGGCCCATGTGAGTGACTTGGGCCCAATTTGGAAAATTAGGCCATAGATGGGCCACAATTGGGCCTTGATGATTTTGAGATATTGGACCATCCGTATGCCAAGTATTGGGACTAGAATAGATAGTTGGGCCTTAAGGTAAGGCTCATGTGAAGGGTTTGGGCCTAATTTGGGAAATTGGGCCATATGTTGGGCTTTGGTCCATTGGGTGATTGTTGGTCCTTTGGAGTGTGAGTTGGGCCTTGGGCTTGAATCAAGCTAGGTTGGGGGTAAAGTATTCTTTTACCCCAAGCATGGACTTACGGTTATGTATTGGAACCCAATTATTAATTGGGTATTGTTTTGATGTTGACAGTTCGGGAAGCTGTCATCCAGCAGCTAGGGTTTCGTCCGTGGGACTTCAGTAGTGTGAGGTGAGTTTTCCTCACTATACTCAAGGGTCTAAGGCACCAAGGCTGGCCCTTTTTGGATTGTCATCCTGATATGTTATATATGCTCGAGTATCGTATGATCTGTTAGATCGGTATCCTGGTAGATAGGATGTTATTATGTTGTTATGATTTGTTAGATCGGTTTGTCTGTCTATAGACTATTATGTGATTATCTGATATATGTGCACATGTTTGATTAGTGGTTGAGGCTTATCTGCTTTGTGCGAGAGCCAATAGACCTGGCCATTCCAACCTGATGGTTGAGGGCCTGGGGTATTCCAACCCGATGGTTGATTGGACCCATAATATGTTGGCATTCCAACCCGATGGTTGAGGGCCTGGGGTATTCCAACCCGATGGTTGATTGGACCCATAGTATGTTGGCATTCCAACCCGATGGTTGAGGGTCTGGGGTATTCCAACCCGATGGTTGATTGGACCTATAGTATGTTGTTTGTGATTATATGTATATTGTTGTGTGTATGAGTATTTTGGGGGAACTCACTAAGCTTCAGAAGTGGTGTTATCCCTTTCTTAATCCCGTCATCTTCGTCTTTTTATTATCTTTATCACACACATAGACACACACAATGTGTGTGTGAGCTCCCTCTCGTTGTTCAATCACAGAGTAAACCCAAGATTGGTGCTTATGTCTTTTTTTATCAACTATTGCTCTTCCAGTTTCTTGATAACGATGGTGAATGGGTGGGACTCATTGGAGGTGTCGAAGGTGGGTTAGAAGAATGAGGAGACGAAAGAGATAGAAGGGGGGAGAGAGAAAATGAAGGGTACGGTAGATGTGGTGGGTGGGATATATAATCCTTTATATTTTATTATTATTTTAAAATTAAAATAGTGTTAAAGTAATTATAGAAAATATAAAATGGAAATTAAAAGGGCATAACAGTCTTTTTAGGTTTTTAGGACCAAATTCACAGAAAACTCCTGATTTTGGACCTTCCATGCAAGTTGGAAACTTTTTGGACCCGATCCAAAGTTTTTTACAAACCACAAGGACCAAATTTGCAGTTTTGTCTTTTAAAAACAACCTATAGTCATAAAATGTTTACAAAATCATTATTTCCAAATTGTTTATCTATATTAGAGTATCCCAAAATCATAAAGCCATAAATACAGGATGTGTACGGTCACGCCTTTGCCTTCCCGCGATCATCAGAAGTACCTGAAACAACAACTAAAAACCGTAAGCCAAAGCTTAGTGAGTTCCTCCAAAGTACCACCACATACAACATATCAAACAACAACATGCATAGCCTAGCCTTCAGCCTGACTGGACCACCTTGCAGGGCCTACAACCTATTTGGACCGCTCTTGAGCCTTCGGCATGACTGGACCGCCTCGCAGGGCCTACAACCTATCCGGACCGCTCGCCGGGCCTTCGGCCTGACTGAACCGCCTCGCAGGGCCTACAGTCTATCCGGACCGCCTATGGTATCTTGGCCTTCAGCAGAAAGCAGGACCGCCTCAACCCAACCAACCATAATATGTTGACATACACATAACAAATAAACAAATAACCATGCATCAGACAAACAGGCAGATTCACAGATCATTACTGCATGCTAAAATCCTATATACCAAGATACCGATCCAACATATCTCTACAGCATAACAACATACTATCATGTAACAGGATATACAACCCACTAAACCAACCTTGGTGCCTTCGATCCGTAAGTATAGTGAAGAAGACTCACCTCACAGCCTGGCAAAGAAAACTGATCAATACTCTGATCCCGAATACCTGCTCCACCCAAGTCATAAATGTCCAAACATTTCCCATTAATAAAATAATCATAATTTCCTAAATTAAACTTGGTCAAAGCTAACAAGTCAACTGAGTCAACCCAGTCGAGTCAACGCAGCCGAGTCGACACAGAACGCGTACACGGGGCGTACTCTGAAGGTACGTTGGGCGTACTCAAGCCTTGATCACAGTCGGGATGGTTGACCTCGTACGCGCTGCGTACTCCAGGTACGCAGGGCGTATGCCCATACCTCTCAAATCTCCATTAAGAGCTTAATGCCTTAAGTTCTCACGTCCAACTTTTAGATCCAAGGCCAAAATACTGCTAGGAGTCATAAAGTTTCCAACTTTATGACTTTACATGTCCATTAAGTGCTTAACTTAACATCTTAATGCAATAAAACCTTCTAAGGAATGCATGGAGTGAAACTAACCCCTAATACTACATTTTTATGACTTAAGACCCTTCCAAAGGTCTGAAAGGACGACTTATTGGTTCAAGAACATGATATGCTCAAGAAACACCACATTTGGAACAAAAAGAACTAAAATCAAGCCCAAAACAAGATCTAAATGAAACTTCACAAAGTTCAGAACTTTATACCTCCAAGTGATGCTAAATGATGGTGTGTTTATGGATCTAAAGTGCTTCACTCCTCCAAGATCGGTATCTAGTTCCTTCCTTCTTCTTCAAAGGCACACAACACACACAAGATTAGAAATGCTTCACAGGGTGGATTAGGGTTGCAAGGACGTTTGAAAGGATGGAGGCTGATGGAAGGAGCCAAGGCTGGGAGTTAAGGATGATTAAATAGGGTCCAAACCCTAAAGATTAGGGTTTAGGACTTCACCGCGTATGCCCTGCGTACGTAAAGCGTACGCCCAGCGTACGTGGTTCCGTCCCAACAATCCAAAAGTGGCAATAACACCCCCTCCCATCCACAAGTCTTACATTAAAAAGACCAAAATGCAATAGATCTCAATATAAGGGTAAAAAATGAAAGTACCTCAAAACACGATGTTACATTTACCAATATGATAGTAACTTTATATCTATTATAATGACTTCAATCTAAAGAAACGCTTAGCAAAATGTCTCTTTGGTTTAATAAGTATCTAAGAATGGGTGTAACTGGTTTCTATATTATTTTATTTTGAGTAAATTATATGAATGGTCATTATGGTTGGGGTAATTTGCACGTTTGGTTCCTAACTTATTTTTTAAATTCAAACGGTCCTTACAATATGATTTTGTTGCGTCTCTGGTCCCTGCCATACATAAAAAGACAATATTACCCTTATCTATTTTTTAATTATTAATTATTTGTATATTTTTTCTTTTTTAATTTACTGTTATATGTCGGGATGAGATTTAAATCCGGAAAACGGGACTGGAATCGGAATCGGAACCACTAGAACCTGAATATATAGAACCGGTTCGGTTCCAGGTTTAAAGAATGACTTTATCCGGGTTCTGTGTAATCCGGGTAAACCGGAACCTGTGTTAGGAATCAGAACCACTTTTAGGGTCGGAACTGGTTTTTGTGAAAAGTTTAAAACATGCATATCTCATTCCTATCAAGTCGAATTGACATAAGGTTCTTTCCAACATATAGTTTAGAGTTTGTACATGATTTTAGACTATAAATTTGTCATTTTTAGTTCTATATTCATTGACTTGTAATCCCCCAAAGTCGAGATATCAAAGCTGAAAGTTTTTAGATTTTCAACATTTTTGTATTCTATGAACATTTTAAAACATGCGTATCTAATTCGTTTGAAATTGGATTGACATGCATTTTTTTTCCAACTTTTAGTTTAGAGTTTGTACATGAGGTTAGACTATAATTTTGTTATTTTTGGTTTAATATTCAATGACTTATAGTCCCCAGAAGATAGGATATCAAAGCTGAAAATTTTCAACTTTTCAGCTACTTGTTTTTCTACTTTGTATTCTGTGAAAATATTAAAACATGTATATCTTATTCGTTTAAAATCGAATTATCTTGCCGTTTTTTCCAAAGTGTAGTTTAGAGTTTGTATATGATTTTAGACTATAATTCTGTCAATTTAGTTTTGGTATTCAATGATTTACAGTTCCCCGGATTCGGAATATAAATATGAAAATTTTCAAAGTTCAACCCACTAAGTAGTAAGTAATTACCAAAATATTCCGATTTTCCGGTTCTAAACCCACTTTACCAAGTTCCACCCTACCCACTTTGATGTTTCCGGGTTTTCCGGTTCTAGACCCACTTTACCCGATACCATACTTGGAACCGGTTCCTATATTACCGGTCCTATAAAATCCAGTTAACCGGTTCTGGCTTTTCCGGGTCCGGGTCCATCCGGGTTGGGTTTGGACCCACTTTCATCTCTAGTTATTTGTTTATGAGCTACCCATAATCCTTTCCAATCTTCCACCCAATTATTTCATGTTTTACCTGGAGTAAAGTGCAACCTCGTCTGTGCTGTCAGATTTACTTAGCCACCAGAGTAAATCATCACCATATCTCCCACCAAAAAAACACCACATTGAACCCACTCAAACCAAAATTCATTTAAAACAGAAAATCCATTCAAACCAAAAATCATATTAAAAAATCCTAACATAAATCAACCCACAAATCCTGATGGGAAGAAAGAGAGAATATTTCTATTCGTTAGTGTGGATGCTACGACGAATGTGGCAACGATAGATACGAAGGCGAAGGTGTAGATAGGCGGAGATGGTGAAGATCGGCGGAGCATATGGTCGATGGTGTAGATCGATGACGTTCAAGTCTAGATCGATGAAGTTCGAAGATTTCCAGAGGCTTTAGGAACATATCAACGACGTACGAAGGTTTCCGATGACTTTAAAATCCAGGTCGACAACGCACGGAGGTTTTAAGCGTCTGTGGTGTGGAGGTCTAGTGGCGTCCTATGTTTTCCTGAGACTTTAAAGTACAAAGCGATGAATATAGAGGTTTCAGGTGACATACAATTGTTTTCGGTGTTTGATCCGGTGGCCCAACAACATCTAGTGGTTTTCGTTGGTTTTAGAGTTCAAATCAACGACGTACGGAGGTTTCAGGCGGTGCACGGTTGTTTCCGGCGCCTGGGGTCCGATGTTCGACGACGACAGATGGTTACCGACGCCTATGTCCGGTGGTCGACTGTTGTTCGTCAAAGAGATGGAGAGAAATAATATAAATATATGATATGGAGTAGGTTTAAGTGGTGGTAAATGTAGGTTTTGGGGTGGGGTTATTTTCTTTATTTTAATGTTTAAATAATAGGGGAAATGACTAAACTAGCTAATTTTACTAATTATTTATCACCTTTTAGCCAAAAATATCAATTATCCCAAAAGCCACTGAAACCCCAGGTAAATCAAATCGCCTACTGTTTCGCCTTCATACCTACGGTTTTAGTATATGTATATAACATTTTTAATTTTTTTTTTTTCAAAATACCATATGAAACCGTAGGTTTCTAAATGACTTACGGTATCCTATGATAAGTCTACGGTTTCCCAAACCGTAGGTTTCATAAGAACCTACGATGTACAAGCAATCAATGCATAAAACGTGCATTGATTGTTTATACACCGTAGGTTCTTACGAAACCTACGGTTTCCCTTATATATATAGTGTTTTTCGTAAAAAAAAACACCACATCATAATTATATGTCATTGTATACGATCTAAAAAAACAATTTTTTTTTACAAAAACCATAAGCTTCATAAGAAAACTACGGTGTACAAGCAATCAATGCATGTTGCGTGCATCGACTGGTTGTACACCGTATGTATCTCATGAAGCCTATGATTTTTTTTCGGCTTCTTCAAAAAAAAAACCGTATGTATTGAATCTCATTGCAAACAAGAAAAAACAAAAAACATCGAAGATTCAAAGAAATACTTAGGCGTTCTTTGAAAGCTCCATTGAAAGAGTTTTCTTAACTTCAAAAACATAAAAAATGAGCAAAAATGAAAATTTCAACTTTATATATTGTGGGCTAACGGGTCTTAAAATAGTAGACGGCCCACGAAACGGTAGCTTATTACTCGGAAGAGTAGTCAACACAACGTTGACCGTAGTCAATCTTATGTTGACCGTAAGTTTTTTAATCACCTATGGTTTCAGTGACTAATTTGGGATAAATGCTAATTTTTGACTAAAAACTGAAAAGCAATTAAGGAAAATAGTTAGTTTTGTAATTTCCCCTAAATAATAAATAAGTAAATATATAAATAACAATTAATTAAAATAAAAGATATGTGATGTCAATTTAGTCTTTTTTATGTGTGGAAGGGCCGCAACAAAAAGATATAATAGGTACGTTCCGACTTAAAAAAATAAGTTAAAGATCAAATTCAAATATTATCCCAAAGCATAAGGAACATTCATATAATTTACTCTTTTATTTTGAAACCTAATTCTACATTTTGTCTCCTAATTTTAATTAATTATAGGCTTTTCTGATATTTATTATTATTATTATTAGAAAACTGTAGTTAGACTTTTGTGTCAAATGCACTATTAATTTCATTAAAAAAAAATGATTTTGCTTGTAGACATTATATTATGTCAAAATAATAAAAACATTCCACCATATAGTTTTTTCATATAAAACTAAAATCATCGTATAACATATAAAATAAAAAATAATCTTGAATTTAAAACTAAAATCATCGTATAACATATAAAATAAAAAATAATCTTGAATTTAAGGTATAACATTATTAACTAGTAGCTTTTTGATATTAACTATTACTAATTACTAATTAGTTTCGAACATTTGGAAAATCAAAACCAAACGAAGTACACGAAGATATATTTTAGTTCCTCTCTTGTTTCTTTTAAAAAAAAAAATTGAAACAGCAAAATGATCTTTCTAAACCGATGGCAACATTCTAACCGTTCTAACCATTCTTTCCCCCGCAGTTTCACACCTGCAACTCCATCTTTCTACCATGTCTCCATTGGAATTTTCATTAACAAACTTCATTCCTCTTTGTTTCTTTGTTTAGAAGCCAACAAAACTGTTAGATCACTATTAGAGTAGCTTAAAAGTACTGTTCAATCTTCAACTGCATGCACTATAAATACTGCATGACATCCATGGAGTTCATCATCCCCCTTTTCCACAACATTATCTCCAGCTTCAAGAAATGGCTAAATTGTCGATTTCTTTCTCCCAAAGTAAGATGATAATGTCAACCATTGTTGCCTATATTCTCATACTTTCTGTAGTTCCTTTTTCGGAAGCGGTGTTGAGTGCGCATTATTACGATCAAACATGTCCACATGCCGAGAATATTATTTACCAAACAGTTCGTAATGCCTCTATCTACGACCCTAAAGTCCCCGCTCGCCTCCTACGCATGTTCTTCCATGACTGTTTCATAAGGGTATGTAACTCTATTGCTATATATCTATCTCTCTAACTATTTCATCACCATGCTAATTAACGCGTGTATATTTCTGAACAAACAGGGATGTGATGCATCGCTGTTGCTTGACTCAACTGCAGGAAACAAGGCAGAAAAAGATGGACCTCCAAATATCTCAGTTCGATCATTTTATGTAATTGATGATGCCAAAACAAAACTCGAAAAGGCATGTCCTCATACAGTTTCGTGTGCAGACGTAATAGCAATTGCTGCAAGAGATGTAGTAGCAATGGTAATCATTTTTCTTCTTCTTATTTTCATTATGCCATTTTTTTCGTATATTTAGACCTGTCTAACTACTTGTTCTCCAGTCTCAAGGTCCATGGTGGAATGTACTTAAAGGAAGGAAAGATGGGCGAGTATCGTTAGCTAACGAAACTATAAACTTGCCATCTCCATTTTCGAATACCTCAACACTTATTAAGAGTTTTGCTAAAAGAGGATTAGGGGTCAAAGATTTGGTTGCACTTTCAGGTGGACATACTCTAGGGTTTTCACATTGTTCATCTTTTAGTGCTCGACTACACAACTTTAGCACTGAGAACTTTTCGGATCCTAGCATTAACAGTGAGTTTGCTATGAATTTGAAGAAGAAATGCCCCATACATAACAAGGATCACAATGCAGGAGAGTTCTTAGACTCAACTTCTTCAACATTTGATAATGACTATTACAAAAGAATTACTATGGGTAAGGGTGTGTTTGGATCAGACCAAGCTCTGTATGAAGATCAAAGAACAAGATCAATTGTGGACTCATTTGCCAAAGACATGAATCTGTTCTTCAGAGAATTTGCAATTTCCATGGTCAAACTTGGAAATGTTGGTGTCATAGAAAATGGCGAAATTAGAGTTAAATGTAGCATCGTGAATTGATGCGTGAGAAAGAAAGAGAGAGCGATTTGGAGAAGGAAGAGAGGGATTTAAAAGTTTTCAACTTCATAAAAATTTGTCGTTCATCTTGTTGTATGTAATAAAATAAATAAACAGTACTGGGGTTATTGGTACCGGTTGAAAATTTCCACTAAATTCAATTAGTTTTTATAAAAAATTGATTTTAACATTATATTTTAAACATTCTATTTACCAATTTTTTACATTTCTTATCACTTATCCGGTCCATTTATCACGTGGCATAGGCACGTTCAGTTTTGATGACATAACACTATTTGATTACGTCGCATGTTGGTGTTAAAATTGAAATATAATATAGAGATTTTTGTGAAGTTTTCAAAATAAAATGATTTTTGTGAGTTTTCAAAATACAATAATTTTTTGTGATAGCTATACAAAACAAAATGATTTTATTTTATAAATTAAGATAATTAATATATCTGAAATGAGCTTATCGGCTAAATATATCACTCCCTAGTTCATACACTTTGTTACACTCTTTTTTTATAGAGCTTTGAATATATATATATATTATATATATATATTATATATATATATATATATATATATATATATATATATATATATTGAGTTCCTTGGAACAAAAAAAAACAAAGTATTAAAATCAATTTTTTATAAAACTTGATGACTTTTATGTAATTTTCTATTTTATGTTTAGTACATTTAAAAAATATAATATTTTATTTGTAATAACATACTTTTTTTATTTTAGCAATAAGTATCATGTTGAAGACAACTTTTTATTTTTTGGCACTTAAGGTTTCAAAACCTTTTATTTGTTTTATGTTGAAAAGTTTTTGACATAAAAGCCTTTAATTTTACACAGAATAGTCGGTTATGTCTAAAGTCCGTTTTTTAGTATGTTAAAGCCATAATATACAGAAAGTTGGTTCAACTTTACCCTGCTATAGCAGGTAACCCAATTAATGAGAGGCTGACTGGGCACGTGCATGCTGACATGGATGTCACATCATCAACTCCTTTCCTAATGAAAATTTTCAAAATTAAACGGGAAGATAAAACTGGTGAGGACCGAACTCGGGTCACCAGGAGCGAGTTTATGTATGCCCAAGGTGGGTCACATGAACCACCTAATTTTATAAATAATACTAGAAATTATATAACAAAACATTTAGGAACCACCTTAAAGTTTTGGAAGGACCTATCTTAGAGAGAAAGAATGAAAGAAGAGACGGAGAAATTTGGGGTGGTGAAACAACAAGAAAGAAGTAAATCAGTGAAAATGCAGATCTTGAAGCTTTGGAACGGCGAGCTACGAAAAGAAAAAGATACAATTAGGATAGATTCAAAACATTCATTATATACATAACTCGGGTCTAAACTCTTAACCCGAGATCCAAGGGCCCACCCTTGAATTTCACCCAAAGTCTTCTGATTCATTGCAACCCTTCACCAATCCTGCATACAAAGATTTCCTCAACCGCCACTGAGACTAACAGTCTCACACCCGGTCCAGCCACCAGGTTTCCAGAATACAGACCTTGCACGGATACACTCGCGATTCCCAACGCGAGTTTCTACCAAAAGCCCATTCGTAAATGGCGTCTCAAAATATCTTCTTGTGGACTTTCCCCAAAACTGATGAGCGTCCAATTATAAATCTACCCCTAGTCCCGGACTGGAGATACTATTAGGTACCTGCAGGAATGATCCTCAAAACTTATCGATGGCGAACCTCACTCAGAACCCAACCATACGATTTACTAATACCTTAATAATTTCGACTCTCTGCTATGCCATTTCTAACCACTACTATGATGAGCAAGGATGATCAACCAAAACATCCATGTCACAACCATTCCTATCGGCTCGGGTGTACTCCCACCTGATCAACCACTCGAAACATCATAAAGAGCTATATGGCTTGCGACCTAATAAAAAATTTAAATCTTGAAAATCAGACCCTAACAGCAGCTTGCGAACAACCAGAAATATAATGCATACGTTGCACTGGGGCTTTCTGATACCGAAATGGTATTCCCACAACCCCTACTACTCCCTTTATCTAACATATAGATTTGTGGGTCTTCCGATCCCCATCATCGCGTCAATACCGGGAGTATCATAAAACAAGAAAAAGAATAATCCTACCCATTAGGCCCACAACATAAGTCTGGAATGCCATCTTCGGCCCTCAGCCCATGATTGGAATGCTCCCGGCCTTATACCGACCTTGTCTGTGACGACCATCAAATTTCGGTCAAGTCAAAGTCAAACAAAGTCAACTAGTCAAACCGGTCAACTCCATTAACCCTTGTATGATAGGGTTTACGTTATGTAATCACTGTACAATTCGCTATTTTAATGAGAAAACATCATTTGGAAAGTTCATGTGTTTGATTTTCCTTAGCCTTAACAGTGCTAAACAATGAACCAAAGCGATAAAACACTATTGCACAATCATCGGGATTGTGTAGGACACTAAATCATGGCTTAACGGGGTCTATGGACCTTGAGTTGCGAAGCCGGACACTCAAAAAGATCACAAATGAAACCTCTTGCAATCTCATTCAGACCCTACTCAAGATTACTTGACGCTAATAGGATCAAAACTCATACACTACGATATAAATTGACGTTAATAGCAACATAGTATAGTACAACGTTATAACTATAATCAAATTAAATTATGATACCATATTAAAATCAAATCAAAGTATAATGCTCTAATTAAATTTAAAAGAATCAAACTTGAATGCTATAATTAAACTTCAAATCAAAGTAGATTGTTATAATCAAATAATAACTCATCTTTTATAAAACTTCATTTTTATAAACTTTACATTAAATTTTATAAAACTCTATTTTTATAAACTTTACATTAAATTTTATAAAACTCTTATATTAATTATGTAAATGATGCTTGTGTTAGTGGGAAATTATGAAGACCACCAAAAGCAAAAAGATTATTCCCATGGTCTCCCACTCACACCTCCCATCCACTTTCCTTTCATTTTTCTCCCAACACATTATTCTCTTCACCACTTAAACATTGTCTATTCTTTCTCTCACTCTCAATCTCGAAATTTCCTCCAAGAATACTCATATTCCATCCAAGAACAATCTATTATACTCAAATCTTCATCCCTCTTGAAGCATTCATCAAGGTATGTTGTTAAAAGTTTCAAATTCATACAAGAAACAAATTAAATCCACCAAAATATCTAAAAATCATTTTTTTCATAAACCTGATTTTTCTCAGAATACCATCAATAAAATAAGAAGTTCTGGAAATTTTCAGAAAATAACTTATTTTTATTGAATTATCATAATTATTTCAATAAAGTAGGGCAATAATTCACATAAAATACTTGTTGCATTCAATAAATTCTGAGAAAATTCTGGGATGACATGTATACTGATTAAACATGATATATGAAGTTTCATGCATTTATATTACTGTTTACTGTTATTTATGATTTTATTGATTAATTAATAATGAAATATATAAAAAATACTTCCCATAGTCACAAATATCTGAAACTTATACACTGAGCTCTAAATCATGTTATAAAACTATGGTTAATTTTACAGATTTTTTGAGAATTATTTACTATTTTTCCCGAATTTTGTGTTGTTTAATCATTAAAATATTAAATAAATACTAAAACAGTTCAGAAAAATATACAAATTTTACAGTAATTCATATTGTATGAAATAATGATTTCCTAATAATTTTTATAATTTTTCAATACTGTTTACTATTTAAAACTATTTTTCTAAGTATTTAAGCATGTAAAAATGCATTTTAATGATTATTTCATATAAATAATTGTTAAAATCTGTAAATAATTATAATTGGGCAAATTATTATTTTAATAAGAAATTATTAAAATCTGGCCTACATTAAAAATATAAATTAATTATGCAAAGTAAGTAATTCAATTTAAAATTTATTTAACAAATAAATACCTTAATATTATAATCGAAATGAATTATTGTTAATTCGTCTAATATAATAATATGTGTCTAATTATTTGTATTAATACTCCATTCTCGTTTAGCAGTTCCTAAACCAAAACTATTAATTATATTAGGTTCTACGTCATTTTGACCCGAACCGTCTATCGTACGACACACGCATTTCGTTTTGGGACTAAAGTAAGTAATCTACCCCATATTTTATAATTTTCAATACTTTTGGGGTGTATCATGTGGTTCTAATATGTTCCAACTTCATTTTATTGTTTTAATCACAATTGAGACATTGTTGGGACATTTATACGTCATTAATTGTATAACTATTGTTTGTTTACGCTACATGTACTTGTAGTGCATTACCATTTTTAGTCTAATCTCCATGACTATGCCCGTATTCTTGAGGTACGTTATGGACAATAATAGCGCTATTGGGTTGACCACCCCGCCTTGGGACGCTAAGGTGATTGATCGCACGTGGTTGAGTGTGTATGATGATTAGATGCTCCATCCTATATATATATATTTATATATATATATATATATATATATATATATATATATATATACATATGTATATATAGGGTGAGGACTTATTGTTGTTGTTATCATTTGTTAATCAATTTTTGATTTATAAACCGTTATCTCAAATACAATTGTTTGCCGACTTCAAAAGAAAACAAATTTCCAATTATAAAGGTTTCAACTTCACAATTTTCTCTACTAAAATTAGATTACTCACCAACTCTCGTAGTTGACCTGTTTTTACCCATGATGCAGATTTGAAGAATGAAGTTGATGAAAAATAGGTTGTGCCTTAGAAATCCACAAGACTATTTAAATTTGATGTAATAAATGTTGTTCGTATTTGGATTTGTATTTGTATGTTGTGGATCTTGTTTGCATACTTAGTACTTAATTGAATCTAATCATATTATAACATAGTTGTCATGAGACTTTGAACAATATATCACGCCTCGATCGATTCCGACAAGGATCGGGGTGTGACAGATTGGTATCAGAGCCCTTGACTATAGGGAATTAGGTTAATTGCCTTGACCTAGTCTATAGCCTCTAGGGTCCTCTCGTATGCTAGTTTATAAAATGCACACACAACTGCATGCAATTCGCACTTAGAAAATCCTAGGAATACCTTTGTGTGTTAATTGCTCC